TGTGCGTAAGCATAACAAATCTGTCAACCATGAGCTTCATTCCTTAACCTTTTGTCAACATTTTTATGCCTTAATAGCTAGTGGCCTCAGACACATCTGAGTGGTTGTATAACTGCATGTTTTTGAACTTTGATGCACTTTTGTTTCTTATTTCCTTTTAAAAGAGTTGAAAGATTTATTTTGTTTGCTTGTTTGAAGCACAGCTAGGCAAATCTTTCCCACCCCCACAAAAGCGCTTGTCCTTTTATCCTCCCGTTGTTAGTTTTGATTGTAATATCATAAACTGAGGGACAGGCAAGATAAGGTCTTTATAAAAACAATTGTTTAACTCTGCTGCTTATCAGCTCACTGCATATGGAGCCGTTGAATGCATTAGGGATGGGGAATGAATGTATCTAACCATCTGCATTCGGCACATCTGCTGTAAATGATATGGGATTGTGGAGGATGTGTGATACAGAATAGAGGTGAGCTGCATTGCTGAGTTGTATCGCCTCTGCCCTTGTAAGGCTTTTGTTTTGTTGGTTCGACTATTGTTGTTGGGTTCAAGAGTGGAAGGAAACTTTGGCGCTCTATCCACTCCACAAATGGAAGTCTGTGCTCACAGAGAATGACCCCAGACGTTCAAAAGTCCCCTGAGAGACCCTGAGGAAGACAATGCGTCGAAACCTTTGCATCGAAATACATTTCTAAAAAGTGATTTGTGTGCTCCAGTAAACATTTTTCTTTGGATCCTTTCTGGGAGAAGGAGTCCACTAAATAATATTTTAAGAAGGGTTCAGGAGTGTCTGATGAGTGGAAATACTCAGTACGGTAACGGCAAAGGGTGTTGTTGGTGCACCAACTTTTCAGACATTTTCATTCTTACTTGCAGCCCATCTACAGATGGAGCCACCTTACGAACCGTGACTGTAATGAGTCACAACGACGTAGCGCCACTTCTGGCTGGTTCTGTCTGAAACGTGTATGCAAAAAGATTTAGGAATGTTAAAGGATACTTAATTAGTGTTAATCCTGTTTAGTTGTTTGGGTCTTTGCTTCTTCAGTTGAGACCTGTGGTTGTTGACCCTGCAACACCAAAAGATTCTACGCAAGGAGAGTTGGTATGTGTCCTAAAAGTCTAGTTCATTATTTAGTTCATTACCTCAATCTTCTCTATTCCGCGCTCTGCTTCCTCCTCTTTCACACTCCATTTGCCTTTTTACTCCCTCTTTTCCTCAACTCCTCTAAGCAGAGTTGACAGAAGTATTTGAAGTCTCTCTTCTTTTTTCTTTTTTTAACGTGGCTTCCTCCTCTTTTGATATGTCTTTGCCTCCTTTGTCATCAGTGGTGGATTGGCATGCCTTGGGTGATGTTTGCAGCCTCTGACTTCAGTGCTTACTTTGTTCTTAATCAGCGATGGTAGTTTTCCTGCATCACAGGGTTACACTTCAGGCTAGCCCGTTCTTTAAGGGTCTCCCTTTTGTAGCCACTCTAAATCTTCCCTTGGGCAGGATTTGTGCTGCTGGACCTGAACACACAGTTCCATAAAATGTTTCTCAGGGGACAGATGCAGTTTTGCTAACTTTAATTAGTCATTTTATATCACTTATGTATCTCTAATTATGCATAGAGGATGGTGTAGCTGCGGGCTGTTTATTCATCAGCATACCGTCTTAGCACCCCTGATTTAATCATACTCCATAGTGCAAAGAGAAAACAACACCTCAGAGTAATCACCTCAGCACCTCTGCATCTATAATCAAATCCATCTTACTTCCATTCTTATAACCGACTTTTGAGGCATTTTTGCTAAACCAATTAACACGAGGTTCATTAAAAAATTATGTGGAGAAAATGTAAAATGCCCATGTCCATAATAAGTCTGTTTATTTTGTCCCAGTTTTCACACTAATTGAGATCCTAATCCTGTACTAACTCTAATAGCATTGCTAAAGAGAGAGTGGGTAATAAACAGAGAGAGCAAAGTAAAACTTTTTCATTTTGAGGTGGTATATTAACTAAAATAACAATGCATATATTCTCTATTGTGAGGTATCATTCCTCAGTAGTACAACCTTACTTGCCTGGTCAATAATAATAACTTTAGACCCTTGAACCAATTGCGGCTCCCATTCAATCAAAGCATACAATGGCTTTAAGTGTCATTAATAACTTCATATTTTATTGTTTTTATTGGAAAACTAATGGATGCAATACCAATACATTTTGCCCAGATATTCATGTTCCCCAGAATGTGAAGCCTCCAGTTGTGTGTTAACAGTAGTGTGTTTGTTGTATCACCTTAAATGTAAGTAAAGTTGTTTACTGCCAGAAGCTCCCTTTGGTACCAATTTCAATATAACTGCATGTGAAACCAACAACGTCTATAAAAAAGTGGACTACATTTGAAGCCCATTTGAAAAGCTGACTTGACTGAACGTGGTGAGAGTTTTGCCACTGTGTAAGACTGTGGGTGGTTGGATTAATAGACAAGGATTTAGATTGGATGTAATGATGCAGAGCAGGAAGCAATGGAGGAAGTCATCCCCTCCAAACCCCCCGCTGTCTCAACTGTTAATATTTGGAAATGAGAGAGAGAAATGGTGGGGTAGTGCTGTAAAATCATTTACCCATCCAGTCAATGTGTAAAGATGCACACACTTAACTACAGTGACTCATAACATGCAACCAACCTGCCTCGTTCCAAGAACAATATTGCTTATCATGGGCTATTGAGGATTGCTCATTTTTTTCCATTGATGCCAGAAAATCACTTTTGCCTATTTCACGCCTTCCTTTATTGCACAGATTCATATTTAGCAATAACCACCAAGCCCAAGCTTTGAGGAGCAAAAATGTAACTTGTTGTCAGTTTGGAGGATCGTAGTTCTGCTGTTGTAATACACAAACACAACCCATCACATTCCCTCCTACTCACGCACACCATGCTGTCTGCTGGAGTCCACTGTAAATGTCTTGTCACCAAGCCTCTCTGCTGATATTAGTAGACATGTGACCTTTAATGAGCACACAACAGAGCCATGCTGTTGTGGGAGGTTAGCGAGACTGTCTGACAGCGATGTGGTCTAATGAGAGGGGCTCTCTCAGCAGAGCCCTTGTCAGTCCTCCACAATAACCATAACAAAACCCCTACACACGTCATTAGCATCATGCTAATAAGCCACTCTGCTGGGAAGCACATGGGGAAGCTGGAGTATGGTGGGAAGAGGGATGGCATGTTTACAGTCATATCAAAAGATTCTCCAGTAATAAGCTCATTTATTTGTAAGGCGCTTCAGACCCTAAGCACCTGATACATAAAGCAAACATTAGAGCATATGGGTGCATTTGGTGATACAAAACAAAAACATTAGAGGTAGAAGCCCACAGAGAATTGTGCAGATATAGACAGAAATAATTACTAATGGCATAAAAGCAAAAAATATATTAGGAATAGACAGTGACAGAAAGATTTCCTACTGGTGTAAAGCCAGTTATTTTCCACCTTACTTATTATGATAAAATACACTTTTTGACATGTGTTTTGAAGCTCACATACTGCCTCTAGTGTCGACGAAGGTTAACAATACAATGCCTCTTGTCTACCAAACTTAACAAGGTGGTGGCTTGTCTGATTTGTAATGGCTTCTTCATATAAAGGTAATATTAGTTCAGTTTGATTTTGCCTTCACCTCCCTGCTCTCTCTGTAACTGTATTCATGTCTCCCAATCTCCATGTCCCTGGCTTACTGATTGTTTTGAATCCTTTCAAACCACACTTCAACATTTGAGTGGCTTCACATCTCCTACCAGCTCTGCTCATTAAATCATTAAGTGATTTTTCTTTGACTTGGCGTGAAAGGTCTGCACTGTGGAAACAGTCTATATGAAGAACAAGCGCTTGTTAATTGCATTGAATCAGTCTAAAAAGCACATGCCGTACTGAACAAGAAGTACAGCAAATTGTTCACTTTTTCAAGTGAGAGTGCTGTTTACTGTGTTGCTCTCATAATCCAGTAAAACAACTTGTAGATCTCGAGCTCAGTTTTTGCATCCAGATGGAAACATGCACAAAGTTCAGAGATGGGTCTTACATATCCAATCTGCAAAGGTATGAGTTGATAGCGCCTCCACAGACTCCTAAACAACTTCTTAAAACTGTTTACAAATTAAATCAGAAACTAAACAGAAACCCATTTTTGTTGTTGTTGTTGTTTTTTGCTCGAACTTTGAGAACAAAGACCATTGACAGCTGCTAGAGTTGTATTGAACACGTTTGGAAAGGGTTCATTTCTGAAAGAACAATTCAGGATTTTTCAATCTTTCTCTTACTGCTTTGATTGTGCTCATTCTGGCCAAGGCATCGTGGTAATTTAGTACTTGCTATCTTTGTGGTTGAGGTTCTGGATATCTGACAAGAAAAACAGAATGTAGAGGCAAGCACGCCCAGCTAAACCCTAACCCTAAAGATAATAATACATGGGTAAGTTTTAAATGTAGAAAACACAAAATGTAGATCATTAGATGAGCTGATTACAGATAGAACAACTCACAGGGAGACTCACAGCTTAGCTAGCTTTTTGGGTAACCGGTAGCTAGATTTTTCTTTTTTAAACCAAAAAACGATGTTCTAACAATTCCTTTAAATAAGGCTACTAGGGGCACCGGTAGCCTAGTGGTTAGTGCATGCTCCCCATGTTTGGAGGCATTTGTCCTATGAGCGGGCGGCCCGGGTTCAGATCGGGCCTGTTGTTCCTTTCGGGCATGTCATTCTCCACTCTCTCTCTCTCTCTCTCTCTCTCTCTCCCCCTATTTCTGACTCTATCCACTTACCTGTCTCTTAAAATAAAGGCATAAAAATCCCAAAGAATAAACCTTTAAAAAAATATATATATATAGGGCTACTAACAGATCATGTCATGCCAAGACACATCGGCTTACACCTGCTCCAGACAAGTCGCACAGATTGAAGGCAAAATAGTTCTACTTCTAAATCGCCCCTTTGTTGTTTTCTTTAGGGGCCACAAACGTAAGCATGACGAAGCCAAGGAGGAGGGCGTCGAAGAGAAGAAAGAGGAGTCAGAGGAATCTGCCGACGAGTCTTCTAAAGACTCCAACGAGGAAGAAGGCGGGAGCAGCTCAGAGGCAGACGAGATGGCGGCCGCCTTGGATGCAGAGCTTAATGACTTCATGTGATGTAGAAATAGAAGGGACTCAAAAATAAACCCCAGTCACCCCTGCAAAGTGGTACATAAAGATCCTATTTTTCTGGTTTGGAGTGGAGTCTGTGTGAGTGGGATGTTTGAGCCATGAGTGTGTGCTGTGATACAAATGAATGTCCTGTACAGAAATGGTGTGTTGCTATGTAAATAAAGACTTCATTTTTTGTAGCATTGATATATGGACTTTTTGGCATAAAACAATTTGAGGTCAACATTTTATTGTGAGATAACAAACCATAGGAGACATGGAATTTGATAAATTTTTTGTTTCACTTTTTTCTATTTCAATTTTTTATATTGATGAGAAAAAGCTAAATGAACATTTTTCTGGTCATACATGCCAAAGAGTTTGGGAAAGGTTTGCCAAGGCGTGTAGCTAAATCTTTTACTCTGGACTTCCAGTTTTACTTTTGTCTCTTGGCCTGAACCGTTTTTTAAGGTCATAAATGCAACCAGCGGATCTAGACGTTTGAATGTGTTTTTTCAAGACATGTGTTTCTCCTCATTGTTGTTTGTACCTTTAATGACATATAGGACGGATACGTTTTGCATTCTTTTGTTAAAACCAGCCCCTTAATGCACTATCATCGTGAAGTGAATCCAACTTAACTGCAAGTTTAAGTCTCTTGTCATGTGTTTTAAACGTGTGAGCTCACCTTTTCCCCTTGTCAGCCCAGTGTCACTTACATTCTGTACAGTTCAGAGGGACAGGTGACCTCTCACAAGGACACTGCTTTATGTACACTGGAGCTTCTACCTTGAGAACACATTATTTACACACATATTGAACCTTTATTGTTCTCTTACATGCAGATAGCTGTTGATTTTCTGCTCAGGTTAAGAGGTATACATCTCTCAGACTTCTACCTCCAGGCGGTCCAGGCAGTTCAAATAGTGCAGGGGAAAAAACTGATGTGGAAATCTTTTGAAATAGTGTTGTAAGAGTGGAACATCTCTCCAGAATTATTGTTCCCTTTTTTAAAAAGTTTTTGTTAATATAATGTATGCTATCAACAGTTTAAAGACATACAAGGATTATTCTGAGTAGCATATGGTGTCAAAAGGGATGCTTGACTTCTGTTATTTTTATTAAGACATCTTAGTAAAGTAGGAATGCCAGAAACAAGAATATGTTCATTTCAGTCATGTGAAGGCCCTGACACACCAAGGAGATCGTCGACCGTCTGTCCTAGTTGGACCGTCGGTGTGCGGTCGTCGCTCTAGTATTTGCTGTATGTCCGGCTCTGTCACTACCCGTCAGCCTTTTTTTGGCCAATTCGACATGTTGAATCGCCGTCGGTGAGATGAATCTCTCTGATTGGCTGTTCTGAGGTTTCATTTGTCTCCAGCTCTCGACACAGGTTCGGTAAAGCCCATTGAGCATGCCGCTGTAGTATCCATTCTTTCACCCATTAGTGCGGTTTCTCCTTGTTTGTCGCCCCCGCCTCTTCTTTTCTTTTTCCACTAAAAGACCAAGGGCTGATATTATACTCAATTAGTAGGCTACTTGTAATAGCCTACTAATTGATTGTGCGTGGCAGCGGTGTGAAAGTGGTCTTCTATCAGTATTTCCTCTCACATGGGCAGAACATATGTGGTTGTTGGCCGTCAGCCGTAGTCTTTGCGGTGTGTTCTTTTGGCCAAGACGTGAGGCGACGCCACAGGCGGCCTTCTTCACCACTAGTTCTTCGCCCTCTACTTGGTGTGTCAGGGCCTTTAGGGTTGCAGCAGAAATGTCTGAGACAAAAACATCTGCATGTAAGATACAACCAGAGGTCATCTGGAAAATTCAAATTGTTGACCTTTTTGGTGAACAGACCCTTTAAACCTGCTTCAAAAAGACATAACAATAAGCAAGATAAAGAAAATGTTATACCTGCAAGTTAAGAAAGTTCAAAACGCAATGTTATGAGCAGTGAGAACAGAGCGCAGGACTCACCAGCATCAAACCCCTTCAGTGGTTTCAACAATTCTGCATGCATTTCACTAACATCACACTTTACAGAATAATATTTATTGAAGATTTAATGCTTCATCATCACTGTCTTCTCAAACCACTCTCATGCAAAGTTGCCTAGTGTGACTCATCCGGAGCACATACTGTGACAAGGTTGCTTCATTCTGTTGTAAAAATGTTTGCCATCTATTTGGAGAAAAACCCACAGCACTGACTTTTTGTTTTGTTTTTGACTCTATTAAAACTCTTCTAAACAGTGGGAGATCTTCATTCATCTGCATTAAGTCTTTAGAAGAACAAAAAAACTGTCCCAAGGCAGGGGAGCAGATGTCTGTTTGTGTCTCTGCTGAGTTCATTATTTACCCTCACCTTCGCCTAGAACAACCGACAAAACATCAAGATGAACCTTTCACAGTAGAAATCCTTTTGTTTTGTTTGTGTTGGTGTTGGTTTTATCATGAATTTCACTGAAACAGCTGACATGTACAGTATTTGTAAAGTACATTTCCTACTTGACCCCAAGAGAAAAAATACTTTCATTAAATAAAGATGTTTATAAAGAACACAACAGAATTGACTATTGTTCTTTTTTTCCCATGGAGTATTACATTAAATATTTTTTTTATCCCTGGTATCCCCTTTGCACAATTAATGACCATTATCCTTTTCTTCTTTTTTGGGGTTTTATTCATTAGTCATAATTTTAAGACTTCCAATATGCCATGATTCTCAGTTATGGGCTCTTTGTCATGAAAACCAAACCATTAGGCTTTGTTCCACTAACTGCTTGGGTTGGAACATGTGGTGCAAATATGTGACAAACCCTCTGATTTTCATTCCTTGTTTTTACACCAAGACAGACAGCATCATTATTGGAGAGTACAGACAGCACGAGTCATCAGTTTGTAATTTCTTATGCCTGAGGGAGAAGACAACAGCAGGGTATAGTCATCAGGATATATCATTCTCACCTTTCATCACGTGTAAATAAAATAGGATTGTTCCAACTCAGGTGTATCCTCAACTAAATATATCTATGTGATCGGTGTACAATGTTGATACAAGATGTTGCTTCATCTGGGAGGGGGAGGGGCGAGCAGGAAGGTGAAACCCATCATTATGTCATTATGTATTAGTTATTGGTCTTCAGGTGAAATGTTGATTGCACTGGAAACAATGGGATAATCATGGTCATAAACTCTGTTTAACGCCATCCTCCACTATCTCTGTAACCACACTTGGCGGTGTCTATTACCCAGAATGCCTCGGTATCCAACACTTTAAGAGCCCAAGCAAACAGCAGTACTAATGCTTATCCTTTGATAAGATGAGATATATTCCTTAGTAAGTGATGTTTTTCACTATCATAGTGTGGCACTGTGTCGCCATATTGGAAATGCCGTTCAAACTAACTTTCGGTAATTAAGCATAACTCGTAGCCTTCATATGCTCAAAACAGACGGTGTAGGTATCCACTGAATGAAGCCGTAGCTTAACGCTCCCAAAACTCCTCTCTGACGTAATTTTCATCCAAAAAATCCACAAGACCAAATGATCAAAGTTTAAATGTTTACTTAAACAAAACTAAACAAAAAACAGATACAGGTTAGTCCAAAACTATACAAACAGAGAGAGGTGAGGAGAGAGAGGTCAAAAGACTGTGTGGCTCCACTCTCTACTTGTCTCAACTAAGCCCCTCCCCCTCCCCGAGCCCATGAACAGAAATTATTACTTGCATCCATACATTTAACATGATGAGCAATAAGGCTCCTGCAGACGGGTTATTAAAAAAAAAACTTACCCTCGTACAGTGTTCCAATAAACATGATCTATTCAGATCAAAAGTGTTTTTTTGAGCCGGGCTGTAAACATGTTTATTTTTGCTGTCAAAATGTTGCCCTGTTCAGCCCTGCTCAGAACAGGCTGTTTCTGTACCTTTAAATGCAAATGAGCTGTGTCTGACCACGCCCCTCTCTGGAAAGGGCTTTGGCTCTTTGCACCATGCCCTGGTGTTTACAGTGGAAAGGCAGACTCACAGGGCGGAACAAAAAAAATCTAGCTGTGGGAGTGTCACCCACCTGAGGGAGGGGTTACTGCCCTTTGTGATGATAATATTCATTGTTTTATGTTTAATGTGAATGATGTTGATTGTTTTCTTTTTATGGTTGTAGCATCTGTGAAGAGACAACAATATTCAAATAAACAATAAAGTTAATCATGATCTTGATGTTGGTCACCAAAGGGGAAAAACTCCAAACAGCTTGTTTGAGAAAACTTCTGAAAAGTGGAGCAGGCAGAAGACGAAGATGATGGACTTTTCTCCTAATTGGGGATTTGTACTGTAGACAGACTAGGGACACATATTAGTGTTAGAAAATGGTAAAGTGTATTTTGCATAATATATGACCTTTAACAAAGCTAACAAGCTGCAATAGGTTTGAATGTTTTTGACCTTTCAGTTCTCAATTATTTCAAATATCAGCACTGCCATTATATGAATTTATATCAATTTGCTTTTCAAAATTGAGGATAATTGAAACAATGCAAAAAAGATTTGTTATTCTCCTCCACAAGAAAATGATCCTGTGATCCTTGCCACATGTTCTTGCTGATGTGGTCAGCCCCTAGATAGAGGTAATCTGTAATTATGTATGAATGAACAGAGAACTTCAGATCGAAAGGTAATACTGCTCTCTCACTCAAAAGGTCATATGAACAGGAAAGTAGTATGCACCATCAGGAAGGCTACCTGCCAATTATTGTATGAATAGACACGTGTGATAACCTGTAGAGTTGGGTGAAAAACTGCAGAAAACGGAGGGGCTTCAATTATTTAGAGCTGAGATTTTAGGCAGGGTTATGGTGAGGGTAATGCTTTGGTTTCATTGGATGAAAGTTCTGGAAAAGCTAGTCAGTGGGGTTTTAATCATTTCGTCATGCATGTTTGAAGTTGTGTTTTCATTGTCAGAAAATACAAACATCTAGTGGCTCAGCAAGACTTTGATGCAGGTGAGGCTGCAACATCTGCTTCCCTTTCATCATTCTTCTCTAGATGTTCTATGCCAAAGGTCGGCCGATGTGAAAAATGTTTTTCCATGATGAATGACAGAATCTCCCTCTGGCACCTTCCCAAGGACACACTTTCATATGCCCCGTCTTTCTTCCCATGTGCCTGATTATCTTCTTTTGTCTTTGTCCTGAAGGTGGCCAGCCAAGAA